TTGTATGCTATCTTCCATTATTTATGTATAAATGGGTCCTGGTGGCACAGTGGGCTAGTTGTTGGTTTGCTAAGCACAAAGTTGGCATTTCTAACCCACTAGCAATTTTGAAGGGGAAAGACCTAAGGGTGTCTGCTTCTGTACAAGTTTATCTTCTTAGAAACCCAATGGAGCAGTGCTCCTCTGCCTTATGAGTCAGCATCTAATTGGTGCTACTTAAATATTAATTAACTAAAGCATAAACTCTCCGAGTTATAAAATATGTTGCCAGGCGAGCCTCTTCCCAGTCTGGTCTCACCTATACCACCCCAATTTTTGGATGGCTGTTATTAGGTGCTGTAGAGCCGGTCCCATCTCTTCAGGGACACTGTGTACAACAGATTGAAACACTGCTTAGTTATGCACTATGCAAAAATCCACCACTCACAATTATTAATGATTGACTTGATATTTCTACGCATTTGTCTCTCATCTCTAAAATAGGATAATAACATGTCTGCGCTGGGAAAAAAGTCATTAAATTTAAAAAATTGTTTATTATGAGGTGCTTTTGAGCAGTATGAGCCATGGCGACTCTGGGTAGAAAGAATCAGACACTACCTGTTCCAGCGCCATCTCACAATTGCCATGCTGAAGCCCATTGTTGCAGCCATTGTGCCAACCCATCCTGTTGAGAACCTTGCTTTTTCTCAATGTCTCTCCACTTCACCAAGCATGATGTCCCTCTCCAGGGACAGATCTCTCAGAACAACATGTTAAGTGCAAAAGATGAAATCTCCCCATCTTTGTCTTAAAGGTGTCTTCTGTTCTACTTCTTCCAAGACAGATATATCTGTTCTTTTGGTAGTCCACGATACTTTCAATATGCTCTGCCAACATCACGATCCAAATGCATCAATTCTTCTTCGGTCTTCCTTTTTCAATGTCCAACTTTTACATGCATGTTAGGCAATTGAAAACACCATGCCTTGGGTCAGGCTCACCTTAGTCCTCAAAGTAATATAATAGCCTTGCTATTCAACACCTTTAAGAGGTTTTGTGCAATGCATTAATTGATCTCTTGACTGCTGCTCTTATGAACACTGATTGTGGATCCCAAGCAAGATGAAATTCGTGACAACTTCTACTTGATAAGCACTTATCTAATATAAATAGTTGTTATTAATATTATTTTATTAATTATTATTATCATGAGGATTACAGTAAAGTCTCTTAAATGGAGAGATCAATCTCTAGTACTCTAGACTAAGAAAAAAGGAGGCCTATTTGGGATCAACATTTACATTATATTTTCAAAATCAGAATGTTCCAAGGATAGTCAAGAGTCTCTCAGACACCACTGCTTTCTTTCCTTGATGTTGATGAAGATTATTTGTTCAGAATATTTGAAATTAAAAAAATATATATTGAGGATGTGGAGAAAGAACTCACATGCACCACGGCAGGAGCTATAACTTGGTAAAAATATTTTGCAAAGTAATTTGTCAATATCTATATAGGGTCACTATGAGTAGGCACTTACTAAATAGCAGTGAGATTTTGTTCTTTTGTGTGTGTGTGTGTGTGTGTGTGTGTGTGTATAAATATATCCCCATGGCTCAGAAGACATATTTGCAGATATTCATAACAGGGTAACTCTTATGTTTGTATGCAAAGGGACAAGTATAAGAGTATAATAATATTTATTATGTCATTAGTTATGATATGGCAAAGTACCATACAGCTACAACCATAAATTTTACTATAAGCATGAGCATATATTAATCCCCAAAACACACTTTTGTGAGAGAAATTTAAGTTTCAGATGAATAAAGGACACTTTCATGGTCACACGAAGGTCTTAAACATCCAAAATAGTGATATGTACTGGGAATATGGTCATATAATAGTGGAAACAATAAAAAAACACAAACATATATTGGGGCGCTAAACTAACCTCTGAGAGGAGAATTAAAGTAGGGAAGTTGCTTCATTGTTTTTTAAACTTTAATCTTCAGTTCATAAGCCAGGAAGCAAACACAAAAGTGTCTTGTGAAATCTGTCTTTATAGAGTTATTATGTATGCATATATAAAATATGCATCACATTATAAAATTGAAGAAGAAGCAAAACAAAAAAATAATGAAGGAGGAACTTTCAGGAAAACATGTAAGTCGGTGCCTTTTCTAAATGACAATCAACCTTATCCCAGCATCATTTCCAAAACCCCCTAAAATACCACAATATCCCTGCCTTTCAGTTGAACATTCAAACAACCCATTCAACTTCACTTCCTAATTTATTAAGTGATATTTCTTTTATCTCAGTGGTTCTTAAACTAAGCATTCTGACACATCTTTATGAGTTTTTATTACTGTGTTCCATCTGAACTACATTTTTTAAGGTAATGCACTATAAATAATCTCAAGTTCAGAAAGAAAAAAGAATTATGGAACTTCTATGGTGGGATAGCGACTTATACATTGGGCAGCTAACCATAAGCTCAGCAGTTCGAAGCTATTAGCCACTTCAGGGGAGCAAGATGAGGCTCTCACTTTAGAAGCACTCAGGGCTTCTATCCTACAGAGTCACTATGAGTCCGAATTGACTTGCTGACCAGTCTCTCACTTATTTGTTTATATCATAAGTAGGCAAAGCATTATCTATTATAACAATAGGTAGCCACTGTCAACATAACGCTTACTTCAAAGAAACCATTGGATTATGTCACTTCTTCTCCATTAAAATTGTTGAGCCTGCTGCCTACTCTATTTTTGCTGCACAGAAAAATTAAATAAGTGGTGGAGCTGCTCCTCTCCGCTGCCCTTGAGTGTGCCTCTGACTTCCAGTGACTGCTACAAACCCCAACAAAATGCTGCCCCGTCCTTGACACTGCTCCCCTGAGTGACTAAGAGGAACACTGGTAATCACAGCGTTTCCACAGGGAAAGTATCAGCAGTAGAGTCCTAGATCTTTCTTCCCAGTCCAGTGTAGCCTGGAAGCTCTGCTGAGTCCTGCTCAGCATCTCATAGCAAAACACAAGCCTTAGACATGTCGGTAGTGACTGAACATGTGGCATATTGACTAGGAATGGAACCGGAGTCTTCTGCATTGAAGAAAAAACAGATATAAATTTTCAAACCTCTTTTTTTCTTTTGCCAAGCAACAATTTATGGAGGCTTCTTTTTATTCCCTAGCACTGAGCACCCGGCCTTGTAAGGAGTGGGGATTTAACTGAGCACCACGGAACTCCATGAAGGCCGGGCATGAATGGCGGTGTAGTGCATCTTCTCAGGACTCTTCTGAGTACGTAGCTCTTCAAGAGACCAGGAGCACAGCCAGGACGATGCCTCAGCCACTCTTCTAACACACCGGTCAACACTGAGAGATTGCAAATAGCCAACAAATGAATAAATGGCAGTTCCTAAAGAAACTAGACCATGGAAGGTACTCATCAACAAAGCAATGCTGCATGGTGATTATCAAGGGTGTCTGTCTTCAATGTTTCCGTATTGCTTTTGTCCTTCAGGTACACACTTTAAGATACCGCAGTGTTTTGCACACTCGTTCTTAAGACTTTATATCCCAAAGACAGAGGCAGATAAAAATATTCTTTCTAAAATTGAGCCAGAGGCAAATTGAGAAAGTTGCAATAAATAACACGCCCTTAGTTTTGTAAGTGAACTATAACTATGGGCTTCAGGTAAGTTGGAACAAATAAGTGTAGCTTTGCAATTTCTAGATTCTATATTCTGTCCATATTTTAAAAGTCACCATAAAGATGATTAGATAATCATTAACAATAAAAATAAGATAACATTGCTATCGAGTCCACAGCAAATCACAGTGACTTTGCCTAGAGTTTCCAAGGCTGTAATCTTTGCACGAACAGAGAGCATTATCATTCTCCTATAGAACAGCTGCTGGGTTTGAACCACTGACTTTGTGATTTACAATCCGAAGCTTACTCGACAGTGCCCCCAGAGCTCCTGCAATTTTTTTATAAAGTGCACGGAACCATCCATCACCCCGAACATGGAGACGGCTAGAATATTTCTGAAATGCAACAATAGCAGCAGCTAGTAATATTGTTAGGAAAATATCAGCCACTACATAGATAACTGAACATCAACCCTAAAACTAGACCCATAGCATGTGGACTTTGATTTTTGTTTGCTTGTTGTTTTTGTTTTGTAAGGTGTCACAAAACAAAGAGGGTTCATACAAAATTAGTTGGGGAAAATATGTGACCATCTTCTTCCATAAAGATTTGCAGCCTTGAGATCACTCTTGGATGGCTCTACTCGATCCTGCAGGATTGCTCTGAGTGGAATCAATTTGAAGGCAGTGAGTTTGGCTTGGGTTTCACTAAATGAGAGGCATCAGGATTTTCACTGCCAAGTTCCTTGATCTGTGTTGAAGCTTAAATGAAACCTAATTAGGATGAAGCCAACTTCACTCTATCATTTGCCTAACCATTTAGTTAGTAAAAGGCACTGTGTTAATTCACTTCTAGTAGCCCAATGAGGTAGGTTTTGTCTCCACTTTCCTGGTAAGAAAAAACTAGGTCTGACAGCATGAAGCATCTGGCCCAATGTTACACAGCTAACAAGCAACAAGTTCACGAGCTCCAAAGATCTTAGTCTTTTCACCACTTGTGCTGCCTTTTTGAAATATATAAACTCATCGGAGGATTTCTGCTTATTTGAAGCAAATCAGAATGAACTGATGTTTCACATTTTATATTTGATACTGCCTCTGTCTCCTTTCCTTATAAACGGTCTTTTTCTAACTCACGAGCCAAGGTACTAATCAAGTCCCTGCCTTGTCATTTATCCAACACCAAATCTCAACAAGGTCACAGAGTCAGCCTTTCATTTTCTCCAAGCTGGGTGTAGAGAGAAGAAACAATTAATTTATTCCATTTTTCTGGAAATTACACAATTTCCTGGTGTATGGCATATATCAATGGAGAAAGGAATGCTAACTAAGAAGAAGGGGAAAAAAGCAGTAACACTTACAGTTGTGGAATTGAGCCCAGCTGCTTCAGAACAGGCACGTTTTTAAGTATAAACCTGAAAATCACTCCTGGTTCCTGGCGTCCTATGGGAGGGGAAAAAAAAGTCGCTCTACCAAAACCAGGTCCTCTCCTCCAATGAGCTTTGGGCTGCGTGTGCCACCTGGGACTGGAAGTCCTACCTTGTGGCTCTAAGGTTGCCAGACTAGTTGTGCTGAAAGGCAAGATAACTACAATACCCACAATTCACACTTCTCACCTGAAACCAGAAGAAATAGGTGGGTGGCTGGAGTTTCAATCTACAAACACGAAAATGCAAACAAGGGTAGGAAAAACAGGTGACTTGAAGTAAGCATAAAAGGAAAATATCAATAGCCTTTTTTATAAAAGAAATAAAACTTGATTTGATCTTTGCCAGGAATAAGAGGCAAGAAGGAAAGCATCTCTATGCAAATACATTTTCCCGGAGTCAGCGAACCAGCTCTACCAGATTCTCCGCAGGTGATTCAGAGGCTGAGCACGGCGCCTCACTGAACACTGCAGTGCATGGGGATATAAAGATCACGGCGGTCAGGCTTCCTTCCTCAACATCAGCCTGGGGGTTTCACTAAGATGCGCTAGATAGAATAGAGAACCTTTTACCTTTCATCCTCTAAAATACAGAGAATGTGTTGTTGTTGTTTTTAATGTGCTTAATGAGCAAGATGGAACTCTTGTTGATATTTCCTTTCAACTCCCTGTCATTTTCAATTTGGGGGGTTTCCCTCCTTATATTCCAAGAATATCTCTACTTGCTCAAAAAGAAAAAAACCCACTAAAATATAATAGTTACATAATAAAATAAAATACAAAAGTTTTAATTTGATAAAACGAAAGATGCAGCAATTGTAAGATATGAGAAGTATCTGGAGGAAAAAAAATAAAGCCAATAAATATTTTCTCTATTGGTTCATATGGCACCTTGATACAGCCTTCTTCTCCCTGCTAGCTACAGACCAGAAAATAGATAGAAACAGGTCCTGGCTTGATAGGAACTCTATAATATCCTTGGAACATTTATCTCCAGTAGGCAATTTTTCATTTTTGGTTCTTTTGTAGGCAATAAGGGCATGATGGCAAAAAATGTTTCCTTGCTGTGCTTTATTCCCTTCCTATCATTCCTCCTCCTGGAGGCATCTTGGAGCTTCATGTTGCCTGAGGCACTTTACCGACCTCTAGCCTCCTCGAAGGTTCCAGTTGGCCACCACAAAATCTAACATATACCCAATTTAACAGGCTCTTCACTTCCAGACTACAAGTTACTGTGTCCTATGTTCTTTTATATTACTTTCAAGACAACTGTCTGTCCATTTTCCAAACACTGGAAAGCGTCTTCTCCTTGAGCTACCCTCTGCTGCTGTTAGATGGCTTTGAGTTGGTTACAGAGTTGGTCCGTGGCCCATCGAGAACAGAACAGCACCTGGCCCACGCCTGCACCGTCATCAACACCATTTCTGTGCTTGTGTCCCTTGTTGTAGCAACGGCGTCAACCCATCGTCCTGACAGTCTTCCTCTTTTACGTGGGCCTTCTGCTAACGGAGCTGCTACCTTTTTCCAAGCAAGATTTATTCAATATTCATTTTCAATACTGTTTTCCAGCACCATAACTTAAACACATCATTTTATTCAGTATTCCTTATTTATTGTATGGTTTTCATGTGTATTTAAGATGACTGAAAATGCCATGACTTGGGTCAGGCACACCTTCGCCCTCCTGGTGACATATTTACTTTTTAACACTTTTAAGCGATCTTTTGCAGCAAATTTTCCCAATGAAATATGCTATTGATTTAAAGGACTGCTCTCTCTGCCTACCTTTATATGTGTGTGGCTCTCCTCTAACAGCCCTTGTTGAGATGAATATGAACTATTCTCTTCCTCCTCATAAATCCCATAATATTTTATTGAGTTCTATCGTAACATGTTTGATACCGTTCTCATTATTATGGCTGTCAGTGTGTGCACAGTTGTACTTTCCTATTTGAAGGCAAGGTCTTATTTTATTCCCACGTCATTAAATCAAGAGTATACATGCCACTGTTTCTCATAAACAACCAATAAACTAAATAAGAGATATGAAATCAAAGCTGGATGCTTATAACTAGTACTGCTTTCACGTTTCCTAGAAAATAGCTGCATTTAAGGAACTCTCTACATGCCACAAGGGATGCTGTTATCAGATTTCTCCTAGGACATCATCTGGTGTGGTTTCCATAACCTTAATTCTAAGAAAGGTACGGTATTAAAGCTAACCGTTCAACTCCTGGCAGAAATTGGAATGGATCAGTAATAATTGTGTTGTGTAATTTGCCTCAAGCTGTGCACTTGGCTTTCTACATGCTTTGGAAGAACTGGCCTCTACCGCCTTACAGTCAGTCCTGTGACTGCCTCTTTGAGATCTGACTCTGTCCCTGTGCATTTGTCATTAATTACAGCAGTTATGACACCCTTCCCCTCTAATCTAATCTCCTGGCCCTGAAGTGTAAACTCTGACCTTTGGACTCCTTTAAATAGTTCTTAATCACCAACCTATCCCACAATAGAAAAGAAATTATCTCTGCATTTGCTAGGTCCTCACACTTTTGCCTGCGAGGGATTCTCCCAGTTCTCACACACTCTGCCATCAACCAGTATGGAGGAAGTGAACCTTTTACATCATGCAAGATTGCTAGGGACCATAAGACACAGAGCAACCTAGTGAAGATGAGCTTTCTGGGAAGTCTTTTCAACTCTCCACTGGCCGTGTACTTTGCCTGTATGAGCTTGCCCTAAGACAGATAACATTGACCTTGTAGTTTTCCCTGAATTCATGACTCAGGAGTCACTTCCTTGAGAAAGTCACTCTTCCTGTGCTCCTGTGTGTTTCTTTTATTGATTCACATAAACACAAGACTGATTTGAAATTTGGGGCATGGTAACCTAAGATATGTTTATTTCTTTCCTGAAATGATTACTTACAGCTACGAGTTTATTGTGTAGGATGTGGACAAATAGACGCAGAATATGAAAAGCCAATCCTTTCCACCCCAGCCTATGGGGAGAAGGAAATAAGAATGAGTGGAATGTTATTGGCGCTTCAGCAGAAAGCTATCAGAAGGTATTGGAGAGAAAATGTATCGGGAGGCAGGGCCTCTGGGTCCAGCCACACATCCATAACCACTGTCTGCTCTGCCTAGTTGAGAGGGGAGCTCAGGGACTTAGCATTCCCACACCCTGCAGAACAGGCATGAGAAGGTTCCACGAGGCCAGCCAACATACAGAGGCCAGAAGACAGGCAAAAGGAGCCGTGCTGTTGCCATCTTCACTCAAGAAATCTGATATGAATCATTTATTTAAAAAAACCAGGTTTGCACACCTTTCTATAAAGGCCTATTGGCCAAAGGACAGAATGAAACCAGGCTCCTGACAGCAGATGAACATCCAGGACACAGGTGGACAAACAGGTGTTTTCTGTTTTCCTCTCTCTCACACACCACGATGTTACGACACTGCCACCTTGGAGAGACACTGGGAGAGGAGAACCGTGGTATCCAGCCCATCCTGTAAGGGTACAATCTACTTCTTCACCCTATCCCCATACCACAACGGCCACATTTCTTCACCCCCTCTGCATGCTAGAGTGGCCACAACCCACAATAGAAGCTGAAATGCCAGTGAGTCACATCCTCAGACACCCTGTAGCTAAGGGAGAGGCAACCAATGTGTAGCCATAGCCACACCCACCTCTCAGAGATGTGAACTGGGGAACTGGTCAACCAAAGATCTCCATCCAAGCTCCGAGAGCAAGGTGTGTTCCTGGAGGTGACAGTCATGGAATGCAGGACCCATGATGCATGGTGACAATCACACACACTGTGATTCCCAGGGTTCGGCAACAACAACGGACATGTTACCCAATCACATTGTTTAGGCTGCTGCTCTAGCTTCACAAGCTGGTTTTCCAAATCTCCCTAGGACTGGAGTTTACTGCGCTGCCCTTCCATTGCCATCACTCAGACTCCGATTCTGTGCCTTGACTTTCAAAACGCTACCTGATGGAAGTGCCTACACTGTCAGAGGGAGCACCTGGGCCTGCTGCTGTTCCACGGGTCCTTCTTTATGGGTGAGGGCAGTTCCAAGCTCAAACGACTCCGTGTGACAGAATAGCATTGCCCCCCTCAGATTTTTTCCCTCTCTTCTCTTGATAGAAGCTCTTTTTTCCCAGAGAGCCACTGGCTGGGCTCTGGGGATCGTTGGGTTAGCAGAGGAGTACTTCATGGGTTCACCCCAGAGGCTCCTCCCACTGCTGCTTCTGCCCCACTTTCCTTCCTTCCATCAGGTCAAGGACTGGACTGGATTTGCCTCCAAAGACGCAGCAATGCCTGACCGTAGAACAGACTAGTTGACCTAAATTCAACTTAGTAAAATGAGTACAACTCGATTGCTGTTTCTTCTCACCTAAAAATTCTCTGGCCACATGGAAGCCCTCAGGTTGCTTATTAGCATAAAGGTGCTAATCTTTTTAAATTTTTTTAATCTTGTGATTGCTTTAGAATTTACATTGTTACCTCCTCTCTGTCACCAGTAGGGAACCAATCTAGTGACGCCCTGCACCCAGAGAGAGAAACAAAACACTAGAAAGTGGTTTAAATATGCCATTGTTATTGTTCCTTAATAATCAAAAGGGCTTTGGGCGGGTTTCTTTTGTTGTTATTAATTTTTGGTATCCTTCAATGACCTATGTGAAATGCCACTCTTTTGACCCTTTAGTGTGAAACCCAGCAGACAGAATGAAAGAGAAGAATCACCCTCCCCCATGCTCCGACTGACTTTCCTACTATGTGGTCATCATTGCAAGAGAAAGTCCATGTTTGCAAATTTAAAAGAACGTTATTCTCCCTTCGAGCTTTCCCTCTGTCCTATTTCAAGATGTATTGATGCTCAGACCCTGGGATTCCTATAATAGTCATTTTCTGGTTCACTTTGTCCTGGAGTCATGAGCATACTGTAACTCTCCAAAAGCAGTTAATAATTCTGTTATTCACCAGTTAATTTC